TTTTGTTTTCGTGAGTGAGACGTGTTCAAATTAGCTACTTTACCAGCTTCTAGCTCTATAGCGCGTGGGCTGCACGACTTAGCACTAGTTGCAATCGATTTCTTGGGATGGATTTGTATATAATGAGCTAAAATTACACCTATTCTGAAAAACTCGAAGTTGGTGCTGAATGCACTAGATTAGTAGGTCGGAAAGTGTAGGTTTTATGCAAGACGTAGGCTCGATGGAACGCAGATTAAGCATAGGTTACGTAACTACAAACGAGGCGGGGCGAGGCAGCAATTAATCCACATAGGCGAAGCAATCTTTATAGAGGGTTTTAAAGCGCAAGGCGGTTATGCAAGATATAGTGTCCCTCAAGAGTTCTATAATCAGTAGGTAAAATCAAGTAACGGCCACTAGCAGATGCGACCATTACAAAAGTATCAATATAGACGCTTAGTATACAACACTGTCGTTAGACTCTTCTAATACAGCGACGACAGATACGCGCTAGATCTATATACCACGATCGAAGAAGAGGGCGACGAAGGGTATAGAGAGATGCACGACGAGAATATAACAATGTAGCTTTATAGGAAGCTAGTTATGTCAGGAATCGAATGTGCTGAGATTACACGGTAGTTATGGGTATGGACACGAATGGTACAGAAAGCGCAAATATCGTTGAGAAGCTAGCTACTGATCGAACATGGAGCAGTCTTTGTAGCTAGAACCCTTAACCAATATGAGCGACGAAAGAGGCAGTTGTACAGGAGTCATGTTGCGCGTGGTGTCGACGCGTCAACGTCGACACCTCAACACCGAAGTTTTCTATAGCTGCAAAGTATGCCGATTCACCTTCTAGACCTTGCGATGCGATTGCCGCAAACGCTTTATCGATAGTTGCCATGGTAGTGGATTTATGACCTGTTGAAGTGGGTGGATTGGGATATTAATAATGCAAGGGGTGTTGCAACTAGTGACCTGTTGCAAGCTAAGGGCCAGTTTGGCAGCACTGCAGCACCAGTGGCACCAAACCAGATAGAGTAGGTGGAGACAACTGCTGCTGTTACTGGGGCTGTGTTTGGCAACCCTTCAGCTCAGTTAAGTCTAGTAAGCCACAACTGGAGGGCTCTAGCTATTAGTGCTATACTAATAGAACAAAACCTTGTCTAATGTTTAGGATACCTTGCTTAGTGTGGGATCTACCTTAACTCCTACCAAAGTAGCTTGGCAGCGGCGATTTCTATCTATGCTGGCTATAGAAGAGTACATCACATGACCTAACTGGATGATCGAGTTAGGTATAGCTTGACTAGGGTAAAAAAGCCACTACTGACGCCACTACTCGCACTGGTGCTGGGCAGCCAAACAGGCCCTAATAGTGATTCTAAGCGAGTTTTCCCACTGACACCAACTTCGATTTTTTTCACCATGCGCTGCAGTGCAAGCGCCACACACTACAACCACTGAAGCTGTATCTGAAGTTTTCGCACAAACCCTATTACTCCGTACTATACCATCAGCCCAGTCAACAGCTGTAAATCCACCGTGAGAGACGCGCTCATAAAAGCCCCATTCAAGCAATCACTTTCATTCACAGTACGATTAGAATGGACAGACCAAAAAAAAGTACTAAAACGAATGCCAACTCCCTTGTTCTCGCTCCTGAGGGCGACGTGATATTAGTCGTGGGTGAGAAACGATTTCGCATACATGCGGACTCCCTTTTCCTTAAACGGCATTCAACGGTCTTTGCAGCTCTATTTGGCCCAAACTTTCGCGAAGGTCAAGATTTGAATACCTCATCTCCAAAGGAGATTCCTCTGCCGGATGATGATCCGTATGCCATGACGGCGATCTGCGCAACAATGTACCATGACTTTGGTCACATTCCGCGGAGCCCAACAACAGACCGAGTTCTTAGCATAATCAGACACGCAGATAAATACGATTGTTACGATGTCCTTACCCTACCGTCCCAGGTCTATGGCTGGCTCAAATCCGATCATCTGACTCTTGGTAATGACCTAGCAAATATCCTCGCTGTGTCGTATCTGGTCAGAGATCAGGAAGCGTTTAAAAATGCGTCGAAATCCTTAATCTCGAAGTATGGTGGATCATTCGCAGATCTGGCTGATGGTGTAATTTGTGATGTTCTGCCTTGGAAGACGTTCTGTAAGTAGACATATAAGTAATTGATTAACTTGTCATATGCTAACTAGTAATGAACGTAGGCAGATTAGAAGAACTTCGGACCCGTATACAAACACTCGCAATCAGTATTGCATTAGATGCATCAGTGGCTAAATCCAGTGCCTTTGGATACAACAATCATTCCGGGTGCTCCCAAGTCGCAGAAAGGATTCGAGGAAATTTCAGTAATGATCTATTAGTAGAAGTGCGCCAGAAACAAAATCAGAAGCACGGTGGGCGCTTGAATTTCAAACTTCCGCATCCGCCAGCAACTCGGCAGTCAGAAATTGAGCCTTTGCTTGAGAAATTACAGGAACTAGCGAAAGCCTGTAAGAAATGCAACGAGAATGTGGAATCTTCCCAGCTAAACACATTTTGCCTAAGTTTGGCAGGCAATGAACTCAGACAGGTTGCTATGTTGCCCGAATGGTACTGGGGCTCGAATTTGACCTATTGAGGAGCACGAAGAATGAGAGTCTGTATAGCCTACATACTGGTGGACCAAATTGTTGATACAATCGTACCTGGCCACTAGAAATCTGTAGAATAGGGAGATGGGAGAGGATAAGGGCATATTAAAGCCTGACAGTTATTCCACAGAGAACAAAGCTTTGTTCCATTTTGTAGCTCGCGCTCTTGGTTCGCAGGGGGTTTATTCCCTAAGGTTTGGAATAAACCCTTCTCCTTAGTCCTCACTTATGGAAAGCAGCTGTAACTTAAGTATATGGTACAGACAATTCGCGCGCATCTAACGTAACTACTACCTTTTATAACACTACGAGAGATGTAGTGTAAGTTATTAGATAAAGTCTAGCAGAGAGTTGGTGTTCGTGGGTGTGGCTTGTGCCCACTAAGAGTTGACGCGTGACGCGTGCACAGCCAATCTTCAGAAATTTAAACAAGGTTCAGGTAGCGATACTGTACGTCATCGTTCAAGAATGTGGCGCGTTGCGAGCGGGGTCTTAACCGCTCGTAAACGTTATTTATTAATAAGCTAGCAGTCACAAACTCAGGCAGCTATAGCTTATGAAAATTATGTTCGCGACCTCTCGTACTTGACGTCTAGTGATCTATCAGATCTGACCCTAAACTTTAGCGATAAGAGCTGGCGGATCCACAAAGCTCTTGTGGTCTATCACTCCAAATAGTTTTAAAAGGCTCTCACTGGCTGCTTAGTGGTAGGACATTGTGACCGAAGTATTTTTAAGGCCTAACCTATATAATAGGAGGTAAGCAGTAAAGCAATTACTTTGTAAGATAAGCTAGTATACACGAATACAATTAACTGCATGGTGTTATATATCTATAAGGCAGGCTACAATATCTCTAAATTCGACACTCTAGAACCTCTCCTTCATACATAAGTTACTATAATCGCCAACAAATACGACTATGCATCTCTTTACAAGCTTACAAAAACGTTATTTACGAACACGGTAATGACTATCAATCCCAGCGACTAGGCCGCAACTGCTGCCTTTATCTACAACTACACGACAACTGTGCTACCAGCTTATGTAGAGCTAAGGAACTCAGTTATCGCTGCCATTGCGGGTCGCTATTGCATATTAAAAGCAACCCTACGAGAGGAGAGGGTACTCGATGTCCTACATTCAAACGCAGACCTGGTAACCGACCTTCTACTAGGTAGGCGACATGGACCTAAGGTAGAAGGAGTCTCCGAGCATCATTTCATTTGTAATCATTGCCATTACAGTCATACCAGATCGCGCGATTGCCCAAAGATAACGTCTATTAGTAAAACGGGCAAGCCAGTGTGTCCTAAGTATGGGAGGAAAACCGGGAACCCAACACATCACACACCAATGGTCAATATATACCCAGCTTTCTCTTACGCATCATGCGAGGGATTCCACACGACAGATCCCAATAATGAGGATTTGACATGAACGGCAACCATTCGTAAAACATGCACCACAACACAAATACTTAACATTTCATTAGAGAACTTCAACTCTCACTCTATAATACGAACGAAAGAAGTCCTTTTGTCTAAATTTACTGCGAATTGTAGAGAAGCGTACAGACCAGTCGACTCCCTTTATTTAAAACTTTAGAGTCCCTTAGTGTGAGAGGTGTGGCAGGTGGGAATGATAATATCAAGAATAGAATTAGGACGAATCCTTGAGGATTGCCATATGGTTCTATAGAGGCTCTTATACTAGGCGGCACTGGCCTAAGAGGTGTCTAATAAGGGCCTAAGGGTTATCGTCTATATTCTATATCTAAGTCTCGTAATACTTCGTTTACTCTTAATAAAGCTAAAAATTAATATACTTAAAACTAGACGCGTAGTAGATATATATCTCTTTTATATAGAAATTTTAAATCTTTTATAGTAGAAATAAGTAAGTAATACTCGGGCCCAACGGCTGCTGTAGCAGAATTTCAATGAAATTGCCCGTGCTCCGCACGGGCCTATCACCTCAACGATAATATCACCTCAATGATAACACGTAGCTTTTAGTACATACATCTACCCCAACAACTTATAATTAAACAA